TAGACAATATGAACAAACACCAAAAATGTTAAATATCAATTAATGAAGATGAACAACAAGAAGAAACAATAAAAAACAAGAATTTCAAAGTTATCAACAAAAATAAACACAAAGAAACAATAGGAAACAAAAAATAACCATAATTATTAAATTTTGTAACCTTTTCAAAAGTTTAGAGTCAAAAAATCAGTTTTTAATTATTTTCAAAATTTTCAGGTTTAATTTTTTATATTTAACTTTCATTTTTAATATTTTTATTTCTCATTTCTTCAATTTTACAAGTTTTATAATTTAATTTATTTCCCATTTTTAAGAAAAGTATTTTCTGTTTTTATTTTATAAATTTATATAATTTTTTCTGAGTTTTTCAATTTAAACATTTATTTAAATTTCTTAAGTTTTTTTTTTTCATTTTTATGTTTTCTAGTTTTTTAAAGTTTAATGTTTTCATAAAAATCTTGAAATGCCTTCCATGGTTTTCTTATATTTTAAGTTTTTTTTATTTTACATATTTAGTCTATAATTTTTATGGGTTTAGGGTTTTTAAGATTTCACACACTTTTGATGTTACGTTGGTTTTCTTATTTTTAATTTTATGAATTGTATTTTCTGTTTATATTTTACTTAACTACTTGGTATTTAATTTGAAGTTTTTGAATATTTCGAATTTTGCATATATTTGAATTTTTAAATCAAATATTTGCATATTCGAATTTATAATTTGAAGTTAAATACGGAGGATGAAAATTGAAATTTTTGAATATTTTCGATTTATATATATTTTTTGAATTTATAGATTCTTTATTTTGCATATATTCCAATTTTAAAATAGTAATCTTTCACAAATTATTGGTCGAGTTATTATCATTTTAAGATTTCTACATGTTTTTATTTTTCTAACTTTTTTTGTAAATTTTAAATTCATTTTCTTTGATTTTAATATTTAATTTACAATTTTCAAATGTTGCATTTTTTGGATTTTTATTTTTTATTTTGAAATTTTTTATGTTTTCTTAAAATCATTTTTTATATTAGTTTTCTAAGCATTATCAACTACTTTTGAGTTCATGAATTTTTACATTTTCAATTTAAAAAATAAAAAGTTGAGTTATGCACCTTCATTGTACTAATGTACTATTGTACTACGGAGTATTAGTTTGTGAAAAGGGAAGCATTGATTCAAACATTAACTAGCTGGGTGCGAGAATATGAAATTGACGTAAGAAATTTGCTTGAGTTCATGTGCTTCGAACATGTGGATGGTCTATTTTTGAAAAGAATGTTTTAAGTAATCTATATTTGAAAGAAACTCTTAAGGGTGACAAAAATGATATTATTTTCACTTTTTAGTCTATTTTTGAAAAATTCCCTAGATTTAATTGATTAAAAGTTGTGGCCCAAATTTAAATTTATCTCCCAGAGTCTCATCATTCCTTTTTATTCCATCCTAAATAAACTCTAACATTCCTAACATTTTGTAGGGTGTCTCTTCACCTTTTGAAACTTTTATGTGCACCAACTGTTCTAGTTCAAAGGATCAAGAAAAATTAATATGACGAACCTTTTCGAGACCAAGATCGTATTACAATAAGATAAAAATAACTTCAATCAATTTAATTTAATTTAAATTCATTTAAAATTAAATACGGTGTAGTATTCTAAAAAATGAGTACAATAATTGAGTAGTATAAAGTTTAAGTGAATACAATAAATATTAAAAGAATGAATGTTAGTTAAACAACAATATGCTACTATTTATTAAATTGGTGGTAACATATAATAAATATTAAATTTACTTGTTAGAGGTTTTGGAAAGTTTCTCTAATTTAAACACAGCATACATAGTAATGTCTGATCTAATGATTTCTCATTCTTATGACCTTATCATGTAAATCTTCAATTCAATCCATGTTTGCTTTGAATAACTCAACAACGTGACATACAATTGGTTGTGACAAAAAACATGTCTCGACAAGTATAATCTACTACCTCCGTCCCACGTCCCATTATAAGGTTCCCGTCCACTATTTGCATGATCAACTTAAATCATTTTTAATCGTTTACTTTATAAATCAAATTTTTATCAAATTTACATTTTTTTTATCAGCCTTTGTAGTGGTTTTAATGTAGTTTCTGAATATATTAATTTTATTTACTAAAACTAATCAGAGTGTGAACAGGGATTAAGTTCACGGGAAACTTCTAGCGGGACGGAGGGAGTAACTATTTACAATCATTGCCTTGTGATTTGTTGATTGTCACAACAAATGAGACAATTATACAAATTTGTCTTCTCATAAATATAAAAGGTCATGACAATTGAGAAGGGGCATACACATACGATGAATGTAAACCTCATCTTTGGTGTTGCTTTCAAGCATAATTCTTACTTCAATGACATGATTTTCAAGTCGGCCTTATAACAATCAATTCAGTTCAATTACATATATAGTCTTTCTGTTTGGTCTAATTACTCAACAATAATATTGAATCTCAACTTTAAGTCTTACCTTGTGATTTAGAATACCCGTTGTTTTCAAGGATCTTAAGAACTTCGGTATCAAAGCTTCAAATGTTTCTGCTTCAACTTTAGCTAGCGGACTTGTCAATCTACATAATCACAACTTAGATATTTTTTTGTATTTGCTTGCAATTATAAAACACTGCATGTGCAAAATGTTGTTATAGGTGCTAAAAATGTCACAATATATCAAATGTAACATTTTTAGTATGCTACATCCTACAAATGTTATATTAGATGTATTGTAGCAATTTATCATTTTATTGTAGCATTTATTGATGCAATAATGTTACATGAGATATTATTACCTCCGTCCCACTATGTTTGGGACAAGAGAGTGTGACACAACTTTTAAGAAAAAATGGAATTTTGTGATTGGTATTCACTTGATAAAGTGTGAATAAAGTAAGAATGAATTGTAATCACCTAAATATATTACCAAATACAGACAAACCCAATGGAACAGATGAAAAAGGTAAAACAGGACAATGTTAGGGTAGCGGAGGGAGTATATTGTGGCCATTCTTACGATGCTACATATATAATGGGTGCTAAAATAAACACTTTTTGTACTCGTGAAATGTCAGTAAACTTAATTCATAGATTAAATTTGATTTAGATTTTGGTTTGTACGTAAATACGCTAAGCACTATATTTATAAAATTCCTTTCCTTCACCCAGCAACAACTGTTAGTCCCTGTTTTCTATAACAGCAATATTAAACGATCTATCAAGAAGCTAAATAGCAGAAAGATGAACAAGATGAAACCCTCCTTTGATAAACCGTGAACTCGTACAGAGAATGATATGCGCTAAGGCTATTTTGATCGAGTACGAAAGTTAATGCAAACCTAAACCTAAAACGCCTTTTTATATGCGCAGGTATAAGGTTTGCGTAAAGGCTTTCAGCCTGATATGGGCCCGACACATTGGCCCCATATCTTTTATACCCTAATAAATACAAACATTAATAACAAAGGATATAATAAAGCTAATCTATTACAAGACATATGACAAGCTTGATTCACAATAAAATGATCTTCAACATATGTGTGTCATTGAAATTATGAAAATAGTTTTAATTGAATACGAAATGATCAGGGTAAGCAAAGTTCTTGGGATAATCAGTATATAGAAATAAAGTTAAGTTTTGGTAATAATGAATAAATAATTTTTTTGTTATATTTTCTACTCTTTTGAATTTATATAAATATTGAAAAATTAATCATATATAGTAAAAAAAGGTCTACTACAATAAGCATATATTCTTTGTGTTCCTCATTTGAATTCAAATGAAAGCTCATACAAATTTAAAATACTGATCTTTATTTTTGAAAAAATTGAATGAATAATGAAAAAGTTATAACACTAAAAAGAAAAAGGGAGTTTTCATATCATGGGACCCACAAAGGGCTTTGGTTAAGTTGATTTGGTGTACCATGTTGTCTATTAGAATTAGAAAGAAAGAAGTATAAGTTGACACATGCCAGAATTATAAAAAATGGAATGAAATATGGAGTTAGAGATAGGCATGTGTCAATTTGAATGGTAAAATGGTATTTTTATGAGATATCTCATTTCTTATACGTAGTACTCCGTATATAATAGATTATTCATTGCTTTTGTCAAAGCCCTCTTTATGACAAGTATACACTCTTAGACTTGAAACCTTCTTTATCTTTTCTGTTTTACTACACATTCCATACGCACACCAAACCCAACTTTTTTAGCGTAAGCATTCTAGCAGTCATAAGCATCATCTATATGTTCAAATTTCATCCCAACATGCGTTTTTTTATCACAACGAACACTAGAGAAAACATCAATGATTTTCATAAGATCTTACCCCTGTAATATTTATAACCCGATCCGCCTCTAACTTTTTTTGTATTTTAATTTGGGCCCTTCAGCTATTGATCATTTAAATCTAAAAATAGAGATAAGTTTGGTTCATTTTCTCTTCTACGGACGCACAATACAAGAATAGTTCTCATGCATTAGGTAGTATGCTAAAAATATTTTCTTAAAATTATTAGTATAATAAAACCTGATAGAGTATATGGGCTCATACCCCATGCCCCACATACTTAGAAGACTAAAATGCAAGCACAACGGACATCCATGTGGTTCTTCATCGGCCAGATGGTCTCTGTCGGTCAAAAACCAAATGGATCTCAAAATACAGCACAGAAGCTCAGGGGAAAATGAGTGGTCCTCTATCGGCCAAAAAGGCTCCAATAGACTAGATCTTATACAGTTATACTTAGTCAAATAAATCATGTACTCGACCCATTAGAGGCCTTATTTTGTACCGGCACTACTAGAAAAATGTCTTACAATGACACTTTTATAGTGACACTTTCTGATAAAATACCACTAATGACATAAAAGCGTCACTATTTCTAAAACGTAAATATCGTTATCAAATAGTGACACTTATTTTTTTTTGAACTGTTCCACTTACTTAAGGGGATATGCGCGCGCGTAGAATGTTTCGTCTTTAGTCTTTCATCTTTTGTCTTCCCGATGCCTGCGCGGCAGTCAATGCTGACGGCGGACGAGATCAGCTCGATGGAGACCCATACGAAGTCTTCCTTTGCGACGGTGGTAAGGGCTTCAGTCCCAGGCTAGCGACTGCACCAACAACCCTGCTCTCTCACCGATGTGGCCTTTCTGGGATCCTCCGGAACCTTCAAGGGCTATCGAGCGGTCTCCTTCTCTGAGGATGATTTACAGGTTCTCTCTTGTCCCTTCCTTTACGCCTTAATAGGAACTTTTTCCATCTGGACGCCCCCCTTTCAAAACTTCGCGATGCCTTCATCGCTTTAGGGTTCATAGAACCCTACTCGGTCTGTCTACTAAAAGCCAATGTTGTCCTCATAAATTTCAAATCGAACATCGATTTTGATCGTTTTTGAAAAAAAAACACCTGGGATTTTTTTCGGATCCAAGATGGTTGTGACTAGATGGTCAACATCCTTCTCTGTCGACCGGGATTCTCCAATTGCTCCGGTCTGGGTCGCTCTTGAAGGGCTTCCCGTCCATTTACATGATTTTTGTGCCCTAAACTCCATTGCTGCACTTCTAGAAAAGCCTATTCATATTGATGTACCTATTGCTAATTTCTCGAGACCTAACCCCACTGAATTGGCCCCTTACCAAGATCCTGTAAGTGAGGCCAAAACATTTTTTGTTTATGATCTTGCTGCCCCTGAATCTGATGCTTTTATCCCTTTTAATTTTGCAGTGGTAACATACCACTACATGGCCCCTTTTGATGAAGCTCAGGCGTCTGTGAGCCTAATTGTGCTAAGGATGCCACTGTCCATCCACTAGTGGCTTTGGTTTACGATGAATACCCGGTGGCCACCCTTCTCGAGGCGGTAACCAAGGAAATTTATCATCAGATTACAAGTGATGATGTGAATGATACAATTGTGGTCCAAAAAAGGAAATGATGAGATGCTCTCTGATCCAACACTTGACTATGCAGTTACTACACTTGTACCAAATATGTCCGGTGATGAAATTAAATCTGAGGACACCCAAATGAGAACTTTTTCTATTTCAGGTCATACAGATAATCTTACAAACGATGAGGAAAACCTTAAAGGATTTAGACAAATACAACGAAGAAGAAGCAAAAACTCAATCTCAAAAATGCCACCGCACGAAGCCACAGAAGAAACAAATATCTGGATATTCTCAGGTCCGCACAGTAGAACATTCTTATCGTCCACCCATGTAGTTTGTCTGTGTATTTAGTTAATTATGACTTATACACTTCCACTTAATCTTGTTTATATCATTATGAACTTCTATTATTAGTATTGAATGTATCTGTGTTACTTGTTCAAAGTAATTCAGGTGTTTCTGTTTCATAAACACACCATCATTCAGTCCCAGATGGAGATTCATGTGTGTCATTAATTGAGACAAGATATTCCACCAAATCTGTTTCAAGATTGACATGTCGACCTAACCAGGCATCAAGTTAAAAGGATTTCATGGTACTTTAAGCTGGTTTAAAGTAAGACGTTCTGAATGACTATCCATTTCAGATATCACAAAACTTTTGGATGTTTGAATTAATATTGGGATATGAACCAAACTGATCACAAATTAACTCCTTTTGTCTTTCACATTCTAAATAATGAAAGTGGGCATACACATGCTTGCAGAACATATTCTTTTTTTGCAAGCGATAAGTATCCCTCAGAAAATAGCTACTCAAATTACATCTCGGAGGTATTGGCATTCACCTTTTGATAATGATTGATTATTCTTTTTAGTATTTGACTCATAAAAGTTGTTTTCAGTTTTTGTTCATTGTTTTTAGGGCATATATGCTCTCTATATCATTATTGCTGAATCAGGGGAACTTGAGATGCATCCTAATTTTGATGCCTGCTTTTTTATATAATTTAAATTGTAATTATATATGGTTCTTAAAGGTTCAAACTGATAAATTCTGGAATTCAGCTTACCATTTACATAAGTGTTGTCCAATTATTCTTAATATGCCTTACACTTAAATTTCAATAACTCGGTGATTCTTTTTCTACTACTCCAAGTAAGCCTTTTACTTATAGTTTTTGCTAGCTGATTTACAAATGGTTATGTGTTTTCAAATGTTATAGGAATGTTTCAGAAGATGAAGACAACAGGGATCTCAAGGTATTGGCATTCACCTTTTGAAAATGTAAATATTTGTTTGATGTTAGGTGTTTTGAAATGTCGAGGTTTTGCCCGGTTTGTTGTTGACTAGTTCATATGATATGTTGACTATTTCTGGTTAGTCTTGAAGTGTTTTAGCCCTCAACATTGTCATTCTTTGCTTTATAAATGTCAATAAATGTTGACCGAGTTTAGCACTTGACATATGCATATTAATTTTAAAGCAGGATATTTTAAACCAGTTTGTAGTGTTGGTATGTTTATAAGAGTGAGGTTTTATATATTGTTGTATATTATTCTCTTTGAGCAATAATTTAAGTACTAAATATATACGTTGTAATAGAAGCCATCAATTATATGATTGTGTTTATATATATCAAACATGGATAATTGTATATATTTGTATAAAGTGGAGTACATTTTTGTCATTAAATAGCATGAGCAAAAAAAATAAGAGTGCATTTTTGTCATTAAATAGCTCTATTAATGACAATATTTTTGGTTATAGAAATGATATAAAAAAGAATGAATATAGTTGTTATTATTTGTATTAATGACAAGATTTTATGTCATAAGAGATCATTTTTATGATGGTAAATATACTCTCATTAAATACTTAGTAATGATAGGATTAGTATACCGTCATTATTTGTTTTTAATCGCGGAAGTAATTGTGATGGGTGGTGAGAGTAGAAATCCCGTCATTGAAGACATTTTATGACGGTATTGCTTGTTTAACCGTGGGATGTTCTTTCATTATAGGCAATGTTTCTTGTAGTGAATGGAGGAAATTCTTTTACCACCATGCTTAACGTTGTCATCGTTGGCCTGTATGCATTTCTTTTCCTTATATATATATATATATAGATAAGATATCAAATACAAACCATGCTTAAAATACTAACCTACAAACTCAATAATATGCATCACCTTGAACTTCAATATGCAGTAAAAATAATGTAAAGATGCAGGAATGGGATCACATACAAACTAGTCCTCCCATACAAATCATCTATACATTATTTGTATTGCATATTGAAATTCAAAGAGTGCATCTTTACATTATTTGTACTGCATATTTAACTTAAAAGTGTTGCATATTATTGAGTTTGTAGGTTAGTAAGTTAAGCATGGTTTGCATGTGATCTCACTCCTATATATATATATATATATATGGGGGGGGGTCAGGTGAGAATGGTCTCCTAGGAGAGAAAAAAGAATGATATCTAACCATCAACTAATCCAATCTAATGGCCTACGATTTTCCAAAATAGAGAATAATGGGCAAGACTTTCGGATCATTATTGTAATAAATAAGGTAACCATGCAAGTCAACATTAATTAAAGGACACAATGGTAAAAACATCTAACTAACTGTCATGTACGTGCCACCATAATTGGGAAACATCTTGGGATTTGAAAACTAATTAATATGCTTGAAATCAATTATAATTAAAATATAATACGTACATGCTTTTATTTAATATTCTTAACAAATTTAGACTACTCTCACATTAAATTCAGATCACCAATTTGATTAAAAAAACAAATCAAATCATGCACTAATTTTTTGTTTCATCAACTTAGGTTTGTCTATTTGCACTCCTACGTTAAATAACTGCACTTTTATTTGAAACATTATGCAACATCAATTAATTTGAATATTTGGATATTTTTGTACTATTAGTAGTTTAGATAGCTGACCCCATTCATCAAAGTAAAAAATATAGATAGAAATGACATGTTAGTTGAGATAATTTACACAGTTGTCAAGTTCACTTTTATATGATTTCATTGCACATTATCTAACATTAACCAACACTTTACTCATGTACTCGTGCACTTTCATATATACATGTTTTAAATAAAAATGACTTTAATAAGAATAAAGATAAATATACAATGGTGTAACTAACAATTATCATAAGTGCACTATTATATCACATTTTTTGAATCTTTACATTGACACTTTTTACAAAATTCAATGCACTTTTGCTTCCACTATAAAGAAAAGTAAAGAATTAAAAACTACTAAAGTGCATGACAAAGTATGATACGTGCAAGAATAATTAATTCAACGTATGATGAATTCAACGTATGTATATAAAATTTTGTCAACGTTGGAAATGATCATCAAAGAGTTGGGAAAAAAATATTTTGAAAAATATATATTGTCACAAAATAAAACAATACTCCGTATATTTTTAAAAAATTATTACTTTCTAAAGAGCACACCATTAGGAAAAAAAGAGGGTAATGCCATAGCGTTGAAGAAAAATAAACCAATAATATAGTATAAACTAATAGTAGAGAAACTATAAAAGAAGAAATAAATTATTAATGAATAAAAAACTTCAAGGGAAGTGATCAACGTACTACCAAAGGGTCAAAGTAGTGCCAACAATTCCGGATCATAATTTTAAAGGTAATTAATGCAATGATGAAATGACAAAAAAGCCATTTACATATGTTCACGGTAATTTGAAAACAATTTTTAATCTAATGGCTATGATTTATTCTTTTCTCTCCTAAGATGATTTTCTCACTTGAACCTAAATCTATATATATATATATATATATATATATATATATATATATATATATATATATATATATATAGTTAAATTACTTAAATATTATATACACATCTATCTAAACCCCTCTGTCAAGTTCTTTAAAATTAATATACATATATATGTGTGTGTGGTTAAATTACTTAAATATTATATACACATCTATCTAAACCCCTCTGTCAAGTTTTTTACTAAATTCATTTTGTAAACTTGTAGTGCTTGATGAAGTGTTCTAACTGCTATCACTTTTATTTTTTTTGCAAGGTCACTGGGGTAGGCAGCATCGGATGTTACAGCTTTTATCCGTGCCAAGGCAGCTGCTTATCCTATCATTGAGATGATCGAGAAAAATGTGGCCAACAAAACTGGCTCAAAGAGTGGGAGGAAACTAAACAAATTAAATGGACACATCCAATTCAAGGATGTCTCTTTCAGCTACCCATCATGTCCTCATCTCTTGATCTTTAACAAGTTGTGTCTTGATATCCCCCTGGCAAGATTGTAGCTTTTGTAGGAGGAAGTGGATCACGGAAGAGCACAATTGTGTCTTTGATTGAACGCTTTTATGAGCCCAGTTCAGGTTAGATATTATTGGACGGAACTGACATTGGAGAGTTTGACCTCAAGTGACTCTCAGACAACAAATTGTCTTATGCCCTATAGATATTTTTGTCATGTTTTGTCCAGGCTCCAGCAGAGTATTTTTTGATTTTGCATACCTAGAATGCAAACTTCAACTACAATGTAGCTTTAGGTTTGAAATGAATATTGTACTTCAAACGTTCAATCTATAGTTTGAGAATTATTGATTTTGTTATCATTTATGGGTTTACAGAATATTGATTGGAATTTCTAAAATATAATTGATTTGGAATTTCAAAATTATATTGTTTTGGAATGCTGAAAGAATACAAAACACAGTGATACCAAAGTGTCACTAACTTATCATTTTGCTTTGATGGAAAACAGAATTATGTGATACCACAGTGTCATTAGCATATGTGATGTAAAAGTGTCGTTGAACGGTTGTGTCGCATATGTATCACTAATTGGCGATACTATAGTGTCATAATTTAGTGACACTTTTAGTAACACTCTTTTAGTGTCACTAGCTCTCACTTTCAGCGACATTTTTTTAGTGTCACAGAAGCCTGTTAGTGATACTAATTTGGTGTCACTGTAAGACATTTTTCTAGTAGTGTGGGCTTCCCAGGTCCAAGACCTGGGAGCCCAAACCCACATTGTCCCTATATTGCAATTGAATTGCAATTTGCGGATTTTAAGGTGACAAAAAATAAAGTAAAATCGTTCTAGCCCCTATAAGACACACATCCGCGAAAATAAGGTGGGATACCTGAGGAGCCCCTCTAACCCGTCAAACCCTCATAACCCTTCCAGCATAATTAGCGCGCTCAAACCCTCCGCCACAATAATAAAAGATGAGGGACAAAGGATCTTCTTGTGTTAAACCCGTTGAAGGAATAAGAGGCCCCAACTCAACATACAAACGTATTTTTGAGTAGTTCTCACCTCCGAACGTTCGGATGCAATTCTTGTCCGGACATTTTGAAAACATAAGGGGTCCCCCATCTAAGTCTAAGTTAACGGCACAGATTAAAACCTAAGGGTACAACCAGGATTAAAAAATCGAGCGCGCTCTTTTCCCTTCCAGATATTTCTTCCGAAACCCACATCTGAACCCCATACCACGTCTGAAGCACAACACAAAACACAGAGTGCGGCTTTCTTTTACAAAGCTCCACTTCTCACCATTCCGCACTCTGTGGTGCAAATACAAAATTTTTAAAAAACAGGGTGTAAAGTCTAATTTGGACAATAAATTGTGGTGCAAACTCAAATTATCCCTATTATTTTATAAAAGTCGAAAAACTAAATAAAAAAAAATTAAAGATACTAAAAGTGTCTCTAACAAAGTTATAAAAGTACTAAGTGGAAAAATTAAAAACTATAATACCAAACGTCCAAACGTGATATAATAATAGTAGGAGGTAAAACTTGCAAAAAGTATAATTTCGAATTTAGCATGGGAGTTGCTCTTCCAACAAAGACATCATAAAAAACGAACCAACATTCCTTGGAATTTAACGTAAGCATGTACACAATTCAAGTAATATTCAATCTTCCAACATCCAAAAAAGCCTCAAAACTAAGAGCATCTATTTCCAGTAATCAAAACAATAGACATGAGTCGTCCTTCAACAATGTTTTGACATAACAACAACTAGTAATAAATTGCCAGGAATTAAATCATCCAAATGTATCAGATACTGACAGAAACCGAGAGTGAGCAGCGTAGCAGAAGGATATATGCCAGAATGGTGACAATAAATACAATATCACGCTAAGGCCTGTTTGGATTGTTGTTATGGTGAAGCGGGTCAGGTCCGGTCGGCACTACCCTGGCTGAGTCCTCCACTTCTCCTTCCCTCCTATTCCCTGCTTCCTATTAATCCTCAATAACAGACATAAAAAGAATAACTTTCTAATTCCAATAATAAAAGAATCTTTACTTTTATCCACAAATCTGCAAATGAAGAAGGATTTTGTGGGCAATCTGTTTTTTCAATGTCAAAACACTCAAAAGTTGGTTTTTTTTTTTGTTTTTGGAAACAACCATTCACCTAAACACAGACACACACAAAGTGAATCATTTCAACAAAAAACCCAACACAAAGATTCACAAAGTGAATCATTTCAACAAAAACCCAACACAAAGATTGAATCTCTTAGCTGTTTTTTCCATTGAACTTTTGTATGTAAAAGAAAAGAAGCCACATTTTAGGAGAAAGTATTATACTACGTAGTATATATACCAGCTGATAGGCCTCCATATCTCTATTCTCTACCAGCTCTTCTGCAACTACTTCTGAGTGTTGAACTGCACAAAGAATACAAAAAATGCAAGAACATTATATTTTATATGTGTGTACAGATTCAAGAAAACAGACAAAGATGAGAGGGGAAGAGATAAGAATGCTTCCATACATGGACGGGAAGAATAAACAAATGGTGCGACGATGAACATCAGAAGAAGAGCAAAAGTAGTGACAGATTTCCTACGAAATAGCATCTCTTTTTCCTTAGATCTGAAAAGGCAGAAAACAAAAGAAACAAGAATAAAAGGTCGGGCCTTGGTAAAAACACTCTGTTTCCTGTTTTTTTTCAAACATATACCAGCATTAAACAAATGGGGAAGAAAGCCAGAGAGGGCCGGCCGGCCGGCGACTTGATGGACGGAAAAAACAGAGCAGGAAACTAAAATATTCTGGGAAATGCCCCTTGAGGCTTGTATTTATACCCTGAGAGACTGAGATCGTTTGGGAACTTGCAGTACTGTTTTTTTGAAATCTTTGGTCAGATGGAGAGGATAGAAATGTCTTTGCATCCATCAGATAATACGCCGGCGTCGTCCGTACATCCTATGTTGTTTGTCTGCATTCGGAGGAGCGAGAATCTGCTCCTCAGTGGCGGCGAGGAATCGTTTGTACGGCCGCAGGGACGTGGAGGATGATAAGGAAATCAAAATTTGCAATCATTTGGTTGGGCTTAGCAAATGAACGTAGAAACTTGGTCATCAAACTTTGAGAGGCACATTGTATAAAGAGTGAAATCAAAGGAAATAGGATTTTCATGTTTCTAAATTCTAAAATAGGATTTTCATGTTTTTCATTCTCAAAATAGGATTAATTACTGTCATGTTTAGAAAATACTGTCATGTTTGAAGTCTGGTACTGCCAAAACATGGCAGTAATTAGTCCTATTTTGAGAATAAAAACATGTCAATCCTATTTTGGAATTTTCAAACTGTTTTAGTCCTATTTCGAGTAATATTCTTAATCCTAAAATAGGAGTAAAAGATGAGGCAAATGCAAAAATAGGATCTATTGTTTTAAATTCCCTAAATAGGACTAAGTATTTGTGTTTAGACAAAAATAACCTTAATGAAACTCCCGCTACATCATTCGCGCATCACAGCCATCCTCCAAGTCTGCCGCAACCATCAAGTTTGCCGTAACATCATAAGCACATTGCAAACATACTCCATCAAGTCTGCGATGTGCCTCTGCCACTCTTCGCTGAATTCATCGCCACCATTCTTCGCCGCCGCCGCCACCATCCTTTGGTGAAGTCGTCGCCCTCTTACAAGTCACTGTAAACCTCCTGCGAAAATGCCATCTTCATAAGAGTAATGACATAAAAATGATATTTTTCTCTAAAAACATGACATTCTCAAGTGTTAAAATATAAAAATTTAGATAAGAAATATAAACATTTTCAGATTCATAATAGTGACATTTTCCTAAGAAATTATGTAATTGTCATATTTAAATCTGACATCATTATGAGTTTAGAATTTGAAATATAATAATGCCATAAAAGTGACATTTTTCTAATGATGTGACATTCGAAAAGTGACATTTTTCATATAATCTAGCATTCTCAGATTCAAAATTTGGCATTTTTTTAATAATTTGGCATTCTAAAGATTGAAAAGTGACATTTCTCAAAGCAACATAAAAACCAGCAATGACACCATTTTAACATTCAATTGATAAATAAAGTAATTTGAATGTTTTAAAATAATATAATCATAATTAATCTAAAATTGAAAATCAAAAGAAGAGAATAAAAATAGATGAGCTGAACACATCTAGATGAAAAGTGATGAAGAAGAAAACGAAAAAAAAAACAAACAAGAAGAGAAGACGAAGAAGAATAAGGAGGGAGAGAGGAGAAGAAGGAGAAGAAGAAAGAAAAGGAAAAGAGGGTTACCTGACTTCGTCGGAGGAATTGTAGATTTGAAGTGTGATGTTGCCGGAGAAATTGAGGGGCTATGATTGCCGGAAATCATACGTACTGGAGGCGGATGGGCAGCACTTCGTCTCCGATGGGGAAGAAGGAGACCGCGGCTCCCAAATCGCGAAGATGCAAATGGTAGAACTCAAGTCTGAGGCGTTGGTTCTGAGTCTATTGGGGGAAGGGCAAAAATGTAACGTGGACTCCTATTTAGGGAATAATAAACTTATACTCCTATTTGGGAATTTTATTAATGTTTTAGTCTCATTTAGGGCAATTTTTTCTTGTATAAATGGTAAACATATTTGGAACATCCATCAATTTTACACTATTTATAAGTTGTATTTTAATTACATTTTGATCGATTGTATGACAGTACTGAAATGAGCTGAATCGATTTAATGTGATGAAATGTATGAAATTCTAACAGAAGCGACCGAATTGACTGATTCCGCTGACTTAAGAAAAAATTATATTTAAAGTATATTTTATTAATAAGATAAAGAGAAAAATATGTGGAAAAATAGCTAAAATTGATTTTTTACCGTACGTTCAACCAATTCATCCAGAAAAGTAATTTCAAATTTAGTTATTTTGATTATTACATAACTCAACACACGAAATTAGAAGTTTATTGTTTGGTAGAAAAAAATGAAAAACAAGATCACCAAAAGGCTCTTTATTTGTTGACGTATTCTTAATTTAATTTTTGAAACACATTGTTAAGTTTTCTCTCATTGAAATTTTCAAATTTGGTTTTCTTAACTTTTTTACTAATAATAGATAAAATATACTCCCTTCGTATTTAAAAGTTCTCTGCACTAGGTTTGAGCACAACATTTAAGGGTGAAATAGTATGAGTAATGAACAATGTAGGAAAAGTACGAGAGAAATAGGAAAAAGGCGTAATATATATCCTGGGATCGGGCGCACCATCCTGATGGTGCGCCCGATTCCAAAACGATGCAACATTCATTATTTTTTATTTCTTTTATTGTTAAAAAT